GGCCCAGTGTCACGGAACGTGATCTACTTTCGCGCCTCAGATGGCGCTTCTTCCCTCCGCTCTCTGTAAACACGGCGGGCTTTACGTAAGTCTCTTGACAGACGACACGCGCTTCCGCACTCAACTGGGACCTTTCGAACTAAACCCACCCTTCCCGAGGTGATTTCCGACCGAACAATGGGCATCGTGCGGTTAGTACATTCGCTGAGGAGTAGAGAGGACCCACTGTCACGGTATCCGCATGTCGCACTGTCCCGCTAGTCGAGATCGAGTCGCGACGAGAGGTTATGTCTTCCAGGTTCGCCGTCAAGGCCACCCTCGTAGGCGGTGTCGTTTACTACAGCGTTCAGCAGGGCCTGTGGTCCAAGTCCGAGGACACCGTGCAGTTATACGGCAGGCTCTACAACGGCATCGCGCCTTACGTTAAGGACAACATCCCCAAGGAGGTCATCAACGAGGTGAGTTCTCGTTCAGTGAAACGTTTAATTTTTATTAAACGTTGACATATCCAGCGGTAAAATCCAGTCGTGTCTATTTCTGTCGATGCAGATCAACTTTAATCTCCGTTTAATTTTCTTTTTACCCTTTTCTAGTTCTTAGACCTGGTTTCACCAAACGCCGCTCAACTTTGATCCCAGCTTAACTCGCGTTTGCCTCTTTCTGAACAGTTGCAAAGAGACAAGGAACGAAGAAAGCTAACAATAAGTTTAAAGTTAAATAACTCTGGTGAAACCGGACCTAAGAGTCGAAAAGTTTTCTAGTTGCGAAGGCCTGCGCCCACGATGCTAGAACTTGGACACAAGGCTTAAGAGTGAAAAAAGGTGGAAAGTAAATTAAACCGAGATTAAAATTAAATTACATTGACAGAATTGGACAATAGTCGTGTAGAATGACGAATGAGATCGAGTTTGCTGAATATTGATACTCGAACAGTCATGTTTGTACTTGTACATAGAAATTCAGACAATCTCTGCTTTGCATTTCGAGTCTTCCATTTCAACATTGTGATTTATTTAAGAAAAGGAGATTATTTAATATTGTCACGCACAGCTACCACCGTTGCCGAGCACCAGTGACCTCTCCAACTCCGTCAAGTCATCGTGGAACAAGGGAGTCATAGCGAGCATGAAATTCCTGTCGGAGACTCCGACCTACGTGGCCAGCGGTGTGCAGAGCGTTTCGGAAACCATGCGGGGTTACATAGAGCAACAGAGAGTGTCCGAGAAAAGTCAATAGCGTTTTCTAATCCTATATTGTGGATTTTAGGGAAACATAACATCATTGAACCGTTGTTAGCTTCACTCCTGCTGTTAATTTATATATCTATACACTGTTGACGCGGCTATTTACATATCGAGCGTTTTCTTACTAATTTATTATATGTCCAATAAATATTTTATCATGGAACGGTCAGATCAATTTTTGCATCGACGACCGTCAATTTTCGTTATTAGATATTCATTCGGCGGTGTAATTGGTATCAGCTCGCAGTCGAAACTATCAGCGATTTCGAGTCGTATCAGTTCACAATAATCGAGACACGATCTGTGGGTTATGTACACATATGAATGTTTATTCCCTCTCAAATGTTATACAAACTGTCGCCAACTACGAATCTCGCTCGACATTTACATGCCCAACTTGCGTTAACGTACGCTAACATTAACTCGTGTTAACGTTAATTTACGTTGACGAAGCGTTTCAATTCCCTGAAATTCATACTGATGCGTCTGATTTCTACATTATGGTCAGGCAGATACGAAAAAAAAGGAGAAAAAAAGGCCGATGGCTGAAAACCCAACTAAATGCGAAAGTTCCATCGTGAGTCGCAGTACGTACTGGTCCCCAAAATAGTAATAGTATCGTGCAACTGCGTTACAACAATACTCGATCGTAATAATGTAATCATAGCAAACGTGTCTACAGTATAAAAGGAACGATAAGATAGAGATAAGACGTTGCGATAACGAGTCGAAGACGTACTCGCAAAAGCCCGTGCGCACGGAGTCTTAAATGCCGATACAAGGAATCTCGTGGCGTCAAAAATAAACTTTCTTCCTCCGTCGTTTTTAACAACGATATAGTGATATCTCTCGCGAGGCGATCCAATATTTCAGCGTACGAGAAATTGACCTTCCTCGGTCCTTTAACCGATCGATTACGCGGGTCCTGCCCGTCTTTTACTCCCCGAAGTGGACCCAGCTCGCTGACATCTCGCAGCTCCCGCGATCGCAAATTTTACCCTGCCTTCTCTCTCACTCTTTGAAATTCACAATTTCGCTTGTACTTTGTTAGGGAAAAAAAAAAGGATTTTGATCGTTCTCGTTGGTTAAAGGATCGAGCGGCGCATACGCTGCCGCGTGAAGTCCATGTGGCTTTTCAATTTTAACCCCTTTAAAAATGTTTAAGTACGCTTACATATATATAATATATACCTATCTCCCATATATATTTTTTTCATAATTATAATCTTTTTTTTCTCGTAAACTCAACGAGTGACTCTGTGGAGCGAGGTCCACCAGCGCGGTGCCGAGGTACGGCTCACTTTCTGGGCTGTTGAATGATAATGGGACGCGAACAGTGCGCCGGCCGTGCGTCGTGCGTCGGCGTGGGCTTCTCGTGGAAGTGTTGCACGGCCTCCGGCGGAAAATCGGCGTTCCCCTTGGCCGGGGCACCGCTGATCATTATCGTCTTCGGCGGGCTGCAAAACGTCACAATTCCTTTTCTTATTTTCTACTCGAGATACACAGAACTTTCCCCTAAAATTTATCCCGAAAATCGTGTAATCGTGGGACAACGTGGAATTTTGAAGAATTTTATGAGCGTTTTTTTTTAAACTACCGTAATTATATGTAGTGTACATTTTACTAGTAAGTGCTTTGCTGCTAGTAAAATGTACAGTAAGTATAATTACTAGTGAAGTGTATGGTAAGATTTCAAACGACTCTCATAAAGTTGCTCGAAGTGCTATGTTGTCCCACGATTACATGATTTTCAGAGTGCATTTTAAGAGAAAATTCTCTCCATGCAGGGTACCATCGAGTTACAGGTACTTTGCTCTCGGCAATACCTTGAAAGTGACGGTACGCAAAGGGCGCGCTCGAAAACGCTAATGGCAATTAAAAATGACTCTGGAACAACCGGTATATTCGTACGATATGCGTTTATATCCGGAGAGCAGAAGGTCGGGGCACTTGCAGTCTCAATTTTTTTTTCTGTCGCGCGCGATACCGTTGTAACGATATATTGATAGTCGCGGCGGCTCAATGCCGGATGAATAAAGGTATACATGCGCTCTCGAGTAAACATTTCTACGAGCGATACGGCGTATCGTTATCGGTTGCCGATTAATGTCATCGAGTTAGAAAGTTATCTCTCGAGAACATATATTACATGTTCCTCAACGTCCAAGTGGAGAAAAAACACTTTTATTTATCGTCGCAAACTCGAGGAGATGTTACGAGATTTCGCACGGCGAAAAATTACGGCCGCTCGTCAAATTATATTTAATCCGCCTGTATCCGGCGCTTCGCGTAAATATAGAGTCCGACTCTCTCTCTCTGTGTAAATGTTTTTTCAGATGTAACTCACGTTCATTTTCAATTGTGCAACATTGTTATGTAAACGCGGAGCGCCGATAATTATACTTATCGTCGCGCAAGAATTGATTAATCTTGCGCGACTTTTTCCCGCAGTTCTTTCACTTGGTATCTAT